TAATATTTTTAGTCCTTCCTATACGTCTTAATTCAGTTAAATCTACTTCTACTGTAGATTCGTATTGATACTCTAAGAGCACTCACAATATTTTGAGTCTCTTAGAAAAAAATTACATGCCATGTAGGAAATAGACTTAGTGTATAAAAAAGTGTTTCCCAATGCAATTAAATTGGACCTAGTCTAGCTTATTGACAATAAAAAAAGAGACCTAGTCCACACTTGGGTCTATTTTAGACCCATGTACAAACCCAAGTACTCATCATTTATTCCTTATTTAATTTTTCTTTTAATAAATGAAATATATTAGAGCATTTTTATTGGTTGTCATGTATGCTAGACTTAGTATTTTATTTTTGCATTGAATAGCTTTTGAATTTTACTTGAGTTTGTCCATGTCATTTAGGACTTAAGTCTATTTATATGTCACATATGTAAAATAGACCCAAAGCATTGTGGGTGATCTAATAACCAAGTCAACGGTTTATACTCATAATAAATTCATTGAAACAGTTGAGGCCAAAACAACTAGTAGTATATCTCCTTGAAAGAAACGAGTACAAAGTGTAATCTTTAAAGTTTGAACATTTAAGTCAAGACGTGAAATGCTACTTAAAGGAAACAAAGTACAAAGTTGGGCTAAAATTAACTTTTGGTCATCTAAATTGGTCATTGTTCAGTTTGGTACACCAACTTTCCACTCATCAATAATGTTACGTTATGATGCAATTTGTATCATTTTTGGGACATTACTCATAAAAAACAGTATATTATGTTGCAATATGTATCATTTTAAGACATTAATTCCAAAAATAATGAATTATTTTTGGAATAATGTCTCAATAGTGATACAAACTGCAACATAACGTACTATTTTTTATGAGGGGAAAGTTGGTGTACCAAAAATGGACAATGGCCAACTTAGAGGACCAAAATTAAATTTTTGCCTGTAAAGTTGTTATCTTTGAAGTTTAACATTAATTGAAGACGTCGAATGCTAGTAGAAGAACAATTTTTTTTAGGGTCAATTAGATAATACTCGAATTTTTAGGGTCTACTGGATATAAAACATTTGATTATGACTAATCATATATATTTTTTTTTGGTCAAGATTAAATTAACTTTAACTTTACTCAACTCTCATCAATATAATTAACATAAATAAATAATATCAATCAATTATTCTCATACACCACATCAATATTAATTCATTATCAATCAACTCACATAATTTAACTACTCATCACTTACCAACACAACTCTTCTACTTTTACACCACATCAACTTTATCATTATACTTAAAATATTATTTAAATACAAACTCAAAATCTCACTTAAACCAAACTCGATATTTTTCTTTTTTCAAAATTCACTTTGTCCAATAAATTTAAGCAAATCTAAAATAACTTATATCCAATCAGACTCTTAGGGCGTGCTTGCAT